CACAACCAACCAGGGTTGGTCCAGGGACAAACTGCAACCGAAGTACGTGCCCTTAGCGGGAACCGAACCCGGGTCTCTCCGGACCGCAGGCCGACGCTCTAACCGCTGAGCCAAACTGGCCAGGGCCCAACTGAAAATTTTAAATGAACAAATATTACTTTTATAATAAACTAATATATAAAAATCAAATATATTAGCTAGAATTACTTAAACAAGAAGTTGAAATGAAGGTTGCACAAGTGTTGTAAAACAGGCTAAGCTATTACAGTACTCTAACTCCCTCTTACCATACATCTAATACAAAATTAAATATATGCAATATCAACATGTATATTAAATATTTCTAGTCAAATTTGCTGATAGAAAACATCCTCAGAAATTTCAACTAAGAATAGTAATGCAATACATTAAAGTGATTCTGAAACCAGAGGAAAAGATCTATTCTTGGCTTACTACAAATTTGGCTCAAAAAAGAGAGACATTAAAAGCCTGATAGATTACAAATTTCTGCCACAACCAAGTGTCTACTAAGATAACTTACCAGTGGAAAATTACTTAATCGCAGTTTATGTATAGAATGTTTCAGGTGTGAATATTGCAATAGCAAGCAGATCGTTTAAAGAAATTTTATAAAAATGTTTATAACATATTGAGCATATGTGCATGGGGAACTTAAATCACACTTAATACTGCCTCAGCATATAAATGTCCACTTTCAATCAAATATCCTTCCACAAAATGAATACTGACAATGTTTGGCAGAATTTTAACATCTAAAACATTCTTCATTACTAAACACCAAGGCCACAATTTCCAAGTTTTAAATATGCTTTTTTTTTTTTTTTTTAAAGTAAAATGGTTAATATTAAGTTCTGTGTGCCGGATAGTGTTAATTATTTCTCTCTCTCATCTTGGTAGTCCTAGCACAGATCCAAGAATATAATGTACATTCAATTGGAATTTATGGAAAAAAAGGGGGGATGAGTAATAAGTTCTTTAAGTGGATTCATATATATATTTTTAAAAGTCCCAAAGATTGTCGGCTGGTGTGGCTCAGTTGATAGAGCGTCCTCCCGTGGATTGAGAGGTCCCAGTTCCTGGTGGGGACACATGCCTGGGTTTTGGGCTCCATCCCCAGTAGGGAACTTGCAAGAGGCAGCACATCTATGTTTCTCTCTCACATCGACGTTTCTATCTCTCTCCCCCCCTTTCTCAAAAAATCAATAAAAACATATTTTTTAAAAACTCCCAAAGATTACAAATTGAATTAGGAAACATGACAAATACACGAAAAGCCAAATAACCTATGACAATTAAAAATACCACGTGTCAGGACATGATAATTTGCAAAGTTAGTGACAAAGAGTGAATTAAATTCTGACCAGAGTGAGCATATTACAGACTGCAGTCTTCCAGGTTTCCTGACCAGACGGCGACACCGTATTTCGATTTAAAAAAAGAAAGTGACACAGCACTCGTCCCACCCTAAAATTATCATCAGAAGAAGGAACACAATAACTAAAGAGAATGATATAAAGAAACTTCCATACTAGGCTATCAAAGCACATGGTAGTCCTGAAAGAAGTTAGAATACACAATAGTTTATGTATCCCGGGCTCTCTAAAGGCTCCTGAAATACAAGTCTCTCAGGACAGCATCCCCTGATTTTTCCTCCTCCGCCCCCGGCCCCCACGAAGCTTTCCACTGGACAGCCGCCCCAGAAATTTCTACCAGCATCCGCAATGACAATACTCTCATCTTCCCCTCCCTTCCCTCGACTGTATCAGACCAAGGCATCTCCCTCCAGAGGAAAAAACGGAGGGCGGGGGAGGGAGGCTAGAGAGAGAGCTTGCAGCGAGGTCGATTATGGAGAAGGAAGGTGAGAAGACGCGAGGGGCCAGGGTGGAGTTCCCTCAGTTCCAGTCCAGTCTCTTAGAGGGCCTGGCCAACCCGCACCCCGAGTGCACGCCCATCGCCCGCCGAACCCGAACCAGCAGCCGGCGGACTCGAATGACAGCCCCACCACTTGTGCCGCGCCCGCTCCCCACAGGCTCCCGGGGAGACGCCTGCCCCTGCCCCTGCCCCACCAGCAACGGAGGCGAGCTCTTTCTCTCCCCTTCCAGTCCACGACGCCGATGAGTGACAGGTCCCGGGGGACGCGATCGCCAGCGCATGCCGTTCGGGACTGCTGGTACAACCCGGCGCCGAAGCCCTCCACCGGCACGGCAGGGTGGACAGAACATTCTGGACGGCCCAGGAGAACCGGGTCGAGGCCTGGCCTGCCCCAGTTGCCCCACACCCGGCGGGGGTGGCACTTACTGCGGAGATTGTGGATTAGCTCCGAGTGGCTGGCGCCGCCGGATTTCCAGGCCATCGCTAAGCACACCCGGAGCAGGTACAGGACCACCTTCAGCGCGGCGACAGTGCCTAGCAGTTTCCCCAAGAGTGAGACCACCTCCCACACGGTCACCACCCCGCTCGCGTCCCCGCTGTTGCTGCCGCTGTGACTGCCGTCGCCACCACTGCCGCCACTGCGCGCTCCCGGCATCCCCCGCGACACGCATGCGCTCTGTGACGCCGCGCGGTCTGGGGTGCGGCTGGGTGGGGCCGAAGGCGGGGGTGGGCAGGAGCCCCACGGCTCACACCGGAGGCTGCTGCGGCGACGGGGATCGGATGGGAGGCTAGGTAGACTCTGCGCCTCCGGCGCTGCCGTGTGTCCCTTTATGAGGATTCGGGCTGCACACCGCCTCCTCGCTGGGTTTGCCCTGCGGCCGGGCGGGGCGGTCCCCGGCGAGGTCGGTCGTGTGCCTGGCTGCGGCTCTGATCACTCAGCGCGGTGGCGGGATGGCGGCGGGGCCCATCTGGTTCCTCTGCTGCCGGTGGCTCCGTAGTCGCCAATGGGTCAGCTGTTGCGAGCGGCGGATCTGCTCCTATAGCTGTCCAGATTGTTAGATGGTGGGCTTCCTCCGTCCTGCCTCACCCAACCCTGTTGATTAATATTTAGGTCGGTTAGAGTCCGAGTCAGAGCTCCCTGTGGTGGAGCCTGAATAATCTTAATACAAGCACCGGAGGGCAAAGGCCTTATCTAACCCGAGTTCTCCAGCCTTTGGCTTTGCGTCAAGTACATCAGTGTTTGGTTAGCAGAGACTTTTGAGACCCTGGTTTGTTCTCAACTCTAAAGCACAAATTCAGAGAGTGGAAGAATACCATGACATATGGGCGGGCGGGGGAACACGTGGGGAATACATTACTTGTTAAAACAATACAGATGGTTAAAAATACCACAGTATCCTATGTCGAATGTGTTATTCTCCCAACACAAGTGTGCGTGTTCAGCAAATTAAGCCTCACAAATCCTACCGTTAGACTTCACACGCGCTTTATAGCTGTCATCTGTGCAAGACAATGGAAAGCCGAAAAGGAACATGCCTGTCACATCCAACTTGCTGACTCCTAATCAGAACTGAGGCTAACAGAATCCAGTCATCATTTAGTCCAATAAACTTTCAAGGAATAAAAAGATATGTCAAAAAAAAGATGTCAAGCCCTGGCCAGTTTGGTTCAGCGTTTAGAGCGTCTGCCTGCGGTCTAGAGAGACCGGGTTCCCTTCCCCGCTAAAGGCATGTACCTCGGTTGCAGTTTGTCCCCGACCCTGGTTGGATCGTGGGGAAGGCAACCACTCGATGTGTCCCTTTCACGCCTATGTTTCTCTTCCTCCCACTCTATCTGAACAAAAAATGGAAAAATTTCCTCAGGTGAGGATTAAAAAAAAAAAAAAAAAAAAAAGATATGTCAAGACATCTGCATCAGCAGCAACTTCCAAATCCTAGTTCTCATGAGATTTTGTCATATGTGATACTCAGCCTATTCGAGATATACATTACTATTTTCTGGGTTTCTATGACCATAAATGAAACCACACTCAAAACAGTGTTCATTATTTCAATATTAGTAATAAAACTGTCAATTTGGGACTAATAGTTATTCATTTAATCTCTCTGCTGTTTCTTGATGGTCTTCCATTTAAAACAAAACAAAACAAATTCTCAAGCCTCAGTAAAACCTGATATCTCTCTAAAGCTGACAACACACCGTTATGATATCGTATAAAGAAGATTTAAAAAATAAGGTAAGTCATACCTCTTGTATGCAATAGGATCTGCATTCTAATTGGGGAATCTGCATCAAAAGAAAACTAGCAACAGAGGGCAAAATTTAAGTGCTATTAGTAGTTTAAATATCAAGTGCTATGTTTATTTAGATCATGGGCTAATCAGGAAAAGATGGGAAGGAACTGGTTCTGGAAAAATGGGTAGGATTCTGAGAAGAAATAAATAAAAGGATATTATAGGTGTAATCAAAAGCACTAGAGAACCTACAGCACGGACTTCTGGGCTGTCAACGCTACATATCAAACTCATTCATATTGAGGAAAGTTACACAGCTAGGCTACAGTCGTCAAAATTAACACTGGAGTCTTCAGAATTCCAACTCCAGGCACTGACAGTGTGTGTTCACAACTTGGAAGCAAAGGACGTATCTGGCAGACAATGAGGGAGAGGTTTAGAATAATAAGTTGGTGTGTTATGGGATGTACTTCTGTAAGAAGTTAAAGACTTAGACTCTTCCATGCGCCGTGAAATGCAAAACTAAATGCTCAGGTGTGGCTCCTAGGTGGTTTCTCTTACATTGATTTTGTTTTATTTTTGCTCTTAAATTTGTTTATATTGCACAAATGCATTGTGCCAATGTGACTATTCTGATTTTGCAAATCAAGAGCAGATCTTACGGTACAAGGACCTGTATACTGTTGCCTCTGCTCATAAACTCTTTGGAGAGGAAGGGCATCTCAACTTCCTCCACTTAGGGCTGGTGGTACCCGCACAGGGGCGCAATCGAATTGGCTCTCCGCAGCCACCGTCGGCCTCCTGAGGTCCGTCCAATAAGGGCTCCGCGGGAAGAGGCGGGACTGAGAGGCGCGCGCTGTGCTTCTTGCAGTATTTCCCGCGGTTGATTTCGGCATGGAGGAAATTTATGCTAAGTTTGTGTCTCAGAAAATCAGCAAAACCCGCTGGCGACCGGTACCTTCCGGGAGTTTGCAGACCGCGGAGACCTTCGCTACAGGCTCCTGGGACAATGAGGTACCCCCCACTCCCAGGCCGGGGAGTCCCTGCCTCCTCGCTGCCTCCCAGAACCGCGCCCCCAGGCCCCGCGCGCGAATCTCTCGCGTTCTAGAGCCTGTCGCTTTTTTTCGTCCCCCGAGCCCTATATCTCTGAGCCATCGATGGTGTTCCTGAGCCTGGAATCTCGTTGTGTTCAAACTGTCCCCATACTAGCACCATTATTCTGAGATGCTTTTAAAGCAAGGTTGCTTAAAGGCAACACACATTTTTATTTTCCAGAGTTTAACGTACATTTCATCTCAAGATAAAACTTTGTGTTTTATAGGAAAATTATATTTCACTGTGGTCTATTGGAGATTTAGGGAACCTGGACTCTGATGGAGGGTTTGAAGGAGACCATCAGTTACTGTGCGGTACCCGGCACTATGGTGATGTTATGGATTTACAAGTAAGTCTGTGTCATATCCAAAAAAGGACCTTAAAGTTTGTCTAGACTCACCCCGGGTTTACAGGAAACTGAGTTCCTACAGGTTATGGTTTTCAAACATATAACAGAATCAGGGCTGGGGCAGGGGATACGGATGTAATCTTAGTTGTTTAAAAAAAACCAAAATACTATTAATTGGCTGACTAATGTGTGCCAAGCACTGTTTTGGGAACTTTGCATAAGTTGACTTAATTATCATTACATGCTTGTGAATTATTGTTGTCTCAGTTTTATCAGTGAGAAAACTGGCACTAAGATCTTTTGGCCCTAGTAAAAGTTTACCTAGGTTTAGACAGTTTAACTTGGCTAAGGTCTCAAAGCCACGAGTAAATGGTGGGATGGAATTACATTTTTATTTTTTATCCTCACCTGAGGACATTTTTCCATTTTTTGTTCAGATAGAGTGGGAGGGAGGGAGAGAGAGAGAGAGAAACATCGATGTGAAAGGGACACATCGAGTGGCTGCCTCCCACACGACCAACCAAGGCTAGGGACAAACTGCAGGCGAGGTACACGCCCTTAGCGGGAACCGAACCTGAGTCTCTCTGGACTGCAGGCCAACGCTCTAACCACTGAGCAAAACCGGCCAGGGTGGAATTACATCTTTTTTTTATTAGTCTTTATTTTATGCTGAATTTACTCCCGGACCATAAGTTTTTGTTTCTTCAGTTTCTTCTGGGATATCTTTTTCTTCTATGCAAGCTCCTCTTCTGATTTAGGAACAATCTGCTCTTTCTCAGTGAGGATCATCTCAATGTGTCAGGGAGAGTTCATGTATGGGTTAATCCACCCATGAGCTCTGTAAGTTTTACAGCGCATCTTGGGAGCTTTGTTTACCTGGATGTGCTCAATAACTAGAGAATCTACATCTAAACCCTGAAGTTCAGCATTGCTCTCTGCATCTTTAAGCATGTGCAGCAAAAACTCAACACTCTTTTTGGGCCACCGACCCTGTGTCCAGCCCCACTGTTTTGCCTGGGCACACCTACCAACTGCACCATTGTAACAACGGAAAGGCACACATTGCTTCTGTAAAGTGACATCCTTCAGATACTTGGTGGCTTTTTGAATATGCATACCTTTGATGGCCTGGGCAGTTTCCCGATTGTTCTTAAAGTGAACACGAAGATTTGAACCTCTTGACTTGCATGATTTTGTGGGTTTTCTGGGTTAAGTGAATAGCGAACCATTTTCAAAGGTAACCTCTGGCTGCTTTCGGGGGAAAAAGCGGAATTACATTTTTAAATCCTGGTCTGTGTGACTTGAAAGTCTCTGCATTTTCTTCTATAGAAAGTCGCCTAACTGTGGGAATGATACTTTTCTAAAGCTTTATAGTAGTGGTGCAAAATTAATTAAATCCATTATAGTTGAATTACTTTAGGGGAAAAAAATAGTTATTCACAAAAACACTTATTTCAATAGGAGTTTTGACTTCAAATCTATCATCACATTTTATTTGCTTAGCATTTATAAGCTCTTTGCATTTAAATATTTTTATTACTGCTAATTAATTTAAACAGATGTGCTTCCCCCCTACTGATATTTCTGAATCTATAATAAACAGAAGTTTTCTACTTAGTTTTTTGACCAGGAAAGAATTGTAGCTGCTTCATCAACAGGATGCGTAACGATTTTCCTTCACCATCCAAATAACCAGGTAAAGAAATTTTGTTTGAAAACTGAATTTGTATTTTAATTATTATTATTTTTTTTTTATCCTCATCCGAGGACATTTTTTCATTTTTTGTTCAGATAAAGTGGGAGGGAGAGAGAGGAAGAGACAGAGAGAGAGAAAGAGAAGCATCGACGTGAAAGGGACACATCGAGTGGCTGCCTCCCACACGAGCCAACCAGGGCCGGGGACAAACTGCAACCGAGGTATGTGCCCTTAGCGAGAACCAAACACGGGTCTCTCTGGACCACAGGCCAACCCCTTAACCGCTGAGCCAAACTGGCCAGGGCATATTTTAATTATTTTTAGGTAGGCTTAAAGAATACTGTACTTAATAGTAACACAAATAATAAAATCTTATAGTCTCAAAACATGGAGGAGAAAAATATTGTTATATTACCCATCTTTTAGTAGATTAATTCTAAAACTGTGTTTACGTAAACTTTTATTGAAATTGGGATATCTCTTAAATTCTGTTAGTTTAGACCTAACATAGTATTCTGGCAAGTAATTTTTCTGTAATTCTCTCTTGTAAGTTCTTATTCTGCTCTTTGAAGAAAAAGCACCTTCTAGTTTCAGGTATCATGAGAGAGAACAGGAACGTCTACCTTGCTTTTGTGGCTAGAACCTCGGTTTTATTTAGAAGAGAGGATACTCTGAAGACTTGACATTTTTTCGTTTTTTAGAAATGAATTTATTGGGATGACATTGGTTAATAAGATTATGTGGGTTTTAGGGGTACAATTCTACAATACATCATTTGTACATTGTATTGTATGTTCACCACCCCAAGTCAGTGAAGTCTCCTCCCATCCGCATTGACATTTTTTCAATGCCTTTCTTATGTGCTAAAGCCCAAGACTGCTAACCTTCACTGCATAGTGGTGAGGGCAATCCTTTACAATAGCCCCACTGGTAGTAGCAGTTTTAAGTTGATGGAAGAGAGTGCTTATTTAGATTTTGGATTTAATAAAGGTCCCCTTGCCCTGGCCAGTATGGCTCAGCAGTTAAAGCATCAGCCCGTGGACCAAAGGGTCATGAGTTCAATTCCAGTCAAGGTTACATACCTGGGTTGCAGGGTCTATCTCCCGTCTATGGGTTGTGTGGGAGGCAACCAATAATTGTGTCTCTCTTACATCGTTGTTTCTCTCTCTCTCTCTCTTTCTCTCTCTCTCCCACCCCCTTTCTTCCTCTCCCCCCCCCTCCCTTTTTTCCTTCCACTCTGTCTAAAAATCAGTGGGAAAATATCCTCAGGTGAAGATTTAAAAAAATTTTTTTTTCTAAAGGTCACCTTGCTTATAAGCATGCCTAGTAAATATAAGACCAAGATCTTTTTATATATTTACTTACTTATTTTTAAATATATTTTTATTGATTTTTTTTAGAGCGCGAGGAAGGGGGAGAGAGATAGAAACATTGATCAATGTACTCCTCCTACTGGAAATCGAGCCTGCAACCCAGGCATGTGCCCTGACTGGGAATTGAACCAGGACCTCTCAGTCCATGGGACAACGCACAATCCACTGAGCCACACCAGCCAGGCTAAGACCAAAATCTTAATTGTTGTTCTTCATGGAGTCATTTAGAAAGTGCTATTGTGATTTATTTCTTAGATGTAGACTAATTCCCTGAAGAATTTAAAGTTGATTTTGAACACACAACTACCTGATACCTCAAAACCATTTCTTTAGTTTGAGATAAGTCTGGGATATTTTTGAACAATATTCCTTTAGAATCTAATCCAGTATATACAGATCTTTGATTAGGATCTAGACTTTTGTATTTGGAAATACAAAGGAAAAAGTATAGAATTATTCTTTTCCTAGAAGGGCGTGAGACAGTTTTAAAACACGCCCGGCCGGTGTGGCTCAGTGGTTGAGCGTTGACCCATGCACCAACAGGTCGCCAGTTCGATTCCTGGTCAGGGCACATGCCCAGGTTGTGGGCCAAAACCCCAGTGGGGGGCATGCAGGAGGCAGCCAATCAATGTTCTCTCTCATCAATGTTCTGTCTCTCCCTCCCTTCCACTTTCTCTCTAAAAAAAATAAATTAATAAAGAAAAAAATTTTAAAAATAATAAAACTTTAGTTGGGGAAAAGTGCTAGTTTTTTAGAACTCTGCGTTGATTAGTTATATCCTCATTCCTGACCCCTAGACTCTGTCAGCCAGCCAGCAGTGGACCACAGCTCACCACCACACGGGTCCTGGCAGTTCTTCCTATAGCAGTGCACCGTGCACAGGCGTTGTGTGCAGCAGCCCAGAGATTGTCACAGTTGGAGAAGATGGTCGAATAAATCTCTTCAGAGTTGATCACAAGGAAGCTGTGAGAACTATAGGTAAGAAAAATCTATATATATATTTTGGTTCTTCACATAGGAAATGAGTACCTACCTTGTACTAAGTAGATACAGTGCTAGGTGTTTGAGGAATAGAGAAATACACAAAGCAGAATCCCTTTATTAAGACAATATGTTGATAAGTCATGTATGACTGAGTGACTGCAAAGGAGAGAAAAATTGTTTATTTGGCTGGAGTGGGTTATTGGATAAAGAATTGAAGGGCAGGTGGCAATTAATTTAATCAAGGTTCTAGATCATAAATAGCTAAAAGATGGCACACCCGACAAAGAGAATAGTGTGGAGGCAGGATAAAGCCATTTAGAGAGTAACCGAAAATGTAATTTGACCTGATTTTAGATATTTATATAGAAGAGGTGAGAGATGAAGCAAGGAAGCTAAATTGGGGGCAGGTTATGAAAAGTCTAATGCACAGCCATTGAGGTTACATTTTGTTGGGTGGACAACTAAGGAGCTGGGGAAAATTTTTGAGTAAGTGGGTGATATGCTCCATGTCGTGCTTTAAAAGGATTATTCTAGTGTAATTCTCTACTGTGTTTCACAAAGACTTGCCTGAGGAGATTTTTAATAGTTCACCAAACTAGACCTGAATCAGAACCTCTATGGATTGAGCTCATGAATTATGATTTTTAGTTCTGAGTGGCATCACTTGTTTAAGGACCATTGCCTGGTGGCAGTTTGGAGGAAGGTGACAAAAGTCTATAATTATATGCTAACTTATGTGGTCTAAGCTTAAACACTTATGAAGAAGGAAAGGGCCATTATAACAATCAGGAAGGTTTTCATAGAGGAGAGAGTCTGAGAATAAAGTTGAATATATTTGAGATGAGTCAGCAGAATAATACATCAGAATGAGCTCTGTAGGAAGCAATGGGTTTTGACCCAATAGAATAAATGGAGGTTCTGGGTTAAGCACTAATCAGAAATAAATCTGCATGTAGAAGGAGCTTGAGCAGCTGTCCCAGAAATGGAGAATAATAATTATAAGTGGAAACAGAAATACATATGTGAAAACTCAGCCTATCCTTGGAAAATAGTTTAGGTGTCCTGTGATAGTTACCTATCAAAGGAGAGTTCATTTTAACGTGTGTATTTTGTGTGTGTGTGTGTGTGTGTGTGTGTATGTGTGTATGTGTATATATATATATAATTTTTTTTTTTTTTTTTTTTTTTTTGGTATGTGCCCCTAGCGGGAACCAAACCCAGGACTCATGGGTCCACAGGCCAATGCTCCCAACTGCTGAGCCAAACCGGCCAGGGCTGTATTTTTTTTTTTTTTATCCTCACTTGAGGACATTTTTCCATTTTTTGTTCAGGTAGAGTGGGAGGGAGAGAGGAACAGAGAGAGAGAGAGAAACATCGATGTGAAAGGAACACATCGAGTGGCTGCCACCCGCACAACCGACCAGGGCTGGGGACAAACTGCAACCGAGGTACGCGCCCTTAGCGGGAACCGAACCCGGGTCTCTCGGGACCGCAGACCGACGCTCTAACCGCTGAACCAAACCGGCCAGGGCCGAGGACGTTTTTTGATATTTTGTTCAGATAGAGGGGGAGAGAGAGAGAGAGAGAGAGAGAGAGAGAGAGAGAGAGAAACATCGACATGAAAGAGACACATCAAGTGGTTGCCACAAACACAACCCAACCTGGGCCAGGGACAAACTGCAACCGAGGTACGTGCCCTTAGCAGGAACTGAACCCCGGTCTCTCTAGACCGCAGGCCTACGCTCTAACCGCTGAGCCAAAACGGCCAGGGCCAGGGCTGTATATTTTTAATAGACATTAAACTGTGACCTATTTAAAATTTCACCTGTAATATTTCAATTAAAAATAATGCATTTTTAAAATAAGAATCAGAATATAAAGAACATGAATTAAGATTTTTATGGCACAGGGGGATGGACCCATTAACACACACTACTGTTTTCTTAATTTGTAGACAATGCTGATAGCAGTACACTCCATGCTGTAACTTTCCTTCGAACTCCTGAGATTCTTACAGTAAATTCAATTGGACAGTTGAAAATATGGGATTTCAGACAACAAGGAAATGAGCCCTCTCAGATATTTTCACTGTAAGTTTTTTGTTGTTAATCCTCACCTGAAGATATTTTTCCATTGATTTTTAGATACAGTGGAGAGAGGGAGGTGGTGAGAGAGAGAGAGGAGAACATAGATGTGAGAGAGACACATAGATTGGCTGCCTCTGGCACGACCACGCCTGGGGCTGGGATCGAACCTGCCACCCAGGTACGTGCCCTTGACTGGGAGTTGAACCCAAGAGTCTAGTCCGAAGGCTGACACTAACTGCTGAGCCAAATTAGCCAGGGCAAACTGTATGTTTTGATTTGTAATTTTAGTAGTGTAATGCAAAATTAATTTGTTTAATTATAGCAATTGACTTTAAACCATATTGTATTTTAATTGCATTCTAAGAAAATAATTTCTATTTAAGTTTGGTAAAGCAAGTATAATTTGATGGTTTGCTACTACCAGCCTGCATTTAGTAAGTATGTGCTGTCTTAATTCAGAGCTTTTATCTCTGAAGTTTGTATTATTTAATGGGGAACTTATTTTTGCTCATCAAATGATTCTATTATAGTGAGTATAATACACTCTAGCTATACTATGAGTGGGAGAAAAATAAAATCCAAGATTTTTTTTCTTTATTCTTTACCCAAGGATATGTTTTGTATTGATTTTTAGAGAGAGAAATGTGAGAGAGATATTGATCAGTTTCCTTCTGTATGCTCCCCGATTAGGGATCAAACTTGCAACTCAGATATGTGTCCTAATAGGTATCAAACCGAAAGCCTTTTGGTGCACGGGACAATGCTCAGCCAACTGAGTCACTCTGGCGGGCAGTATATCATGTTTTTAAAAGCCAAGAAATGAAAATGTGTTTTACACATCATACCATCAGATTATCTTGCTTCCTATGCCTTGCAAATTGAAGAGAAAATGAATAACTTTGGCCCTAACACCTTCCCTTCCCAAATTCTAATATTTAGAAGTATATTTAATATAGTCAATTTTTGGACATGATTTAAATTTATCCAGCAGCTCTAGCCACAAAGATATAATTTAGTTACTAGAATAAAACCTGTTTCATAGATTATGCAAAGATAAAGTATACTTTACAACATGTTTGTTATTGTTTCTCCCATAAAAGGACTGGTGACCGAGTGCCACTGCACTGTGTTGATAGACATCCCAACCAGCAGCATGTTGTGGCTACTGGTGGCCAGGATGGAATGTTGAGTATTTGGGATGTTAGACAAGGTACTATGCCTGTGTCTCTGCTGAAGGCTCATGAAGCTGAAAGTAAGTGTTATGGAAATAGATGAGTTTCTGTTCAGTGAGTTATATGATATATTATAAGCAGCTCTCCATAACGGTACATGTGGATTGGTTTGCATCATAGCTTTTGGCTGAATTGTATAAATTTATAATAATTAACTTATCCCTTTTTATTTGACATTTAAGTTCTTTTTTTTTTTAATCCTCATTTGAGGATATTTTTCCCGTTTATCTTTAGAGAGTGGGGGGTGTGGAACATCTATGTGAGAGAGACACATCGATTGGTTGCCTCCCGCATGACCCTGACCAGGGCCAGGGATGAACTGCAACCGAGGTATGTGCCCTCGGCTGGAATCGAACCTGTGACTCTTTGGTCTATGGGCCGACACTCTAACCACTGAGCCAAACCAGCAAGGGCTGTTTATTGATTTTCAAACAGAGAGAGAGAGAAAGAAAGAGAAACAAACATCGATGTGAGAGAGAAACATAGATTGGTTGCCTTCTGCACACGTCCTGAGCAGGGATCAGACCCACAATCTTTCTTGGTGTATGGGACTACGCTCCAACCAACTGAGCCTCCAGGCCAGGGCTTGTCTTTCTTTATTTTACAGGAACAGTAGATACAGTCATTCCTCGCCACTTCGTGCTTCGACTTCATTCTTGTGGTTTTTCAAATATATTCATTAAAAAGTTGATCAAGACAGTGAAAATGATACAGTGTGCACTCGGTTGTCTGAGTCAATTATGCACCCCTATATTACAATTAAAATTAAAATTACTGTACATTTGGACTGTAGGCCTATGTATTCGAGCACCCCAGGAATCCTTCAACACCAGGTGAAACCGCTAGAGTCTGGAACTGATTAACCGCGATAAACGAGGGACGACTGTATTGGTTTTTGTCTGTCTGTTGGTTTGTCTTCTGATATTGGTGGGGAATTTTTGGCTGGACAGAAATTTTCATATGACCATTATTTGTCTTCGATATCATGAATGGATTATGGTTTAAAATTCTGACTTGAGAGAAGTTTCTTTTAATGCGTGAATAAAAGTACAGAAGAGCAAACATTATTACCAGTATTGTAACTTCTGTTTAATAAGTTTCACATTATTACCTTGGAAAGATAAATGACTTATAAGATTATATTTAAGATAAAGTAAATATAAGGATAGAACATTTTTTTCCCTCTCTCTTTTATAGCTATGTCCAGAAAAAAATGAATAAAAAGGAATAGGGTGTGCCCTCATAGGGTCTGATGTTGGCTAACCCAGTGGTAGTAGAATTACAAATTTTATATCTCTTCTTACCAGTCCCTTTTTACTATCAGCCTGTATTATTGTAGTAAACACAAACATGTGGTGGATTGTAATGTATTACTTTGAATTCATCCGGGCTCTTTTCTAGAAATGAAATAAGGTGTTTTATAGAGGTTTATATTCTAATTTGAAAATAAATAAATACTTAAGAATCTAGATTTGGGCATTAGCTTGTGGCTCTACAGGTTGTTTTGTTTCGCTTTGTTTTGATGAAACAGTGTGAATGCACTTTATACAGGTACTCACCCAAAACACATTCCTTTTCTGCTAAAGAAGGTGACCTTTTTGTGTTTTGTGACATGATATTTAATTGTAACTGTCAGAATGAAAATTGCCAGCTTGCAAACATGTGCCTTGTACTTTTTGTTACACCTCAGGCACTTTCTATGCTGCCTCTTTAAGATCACCTAACCCAGAATCACAGAACCCTTGTTCACAGACCTGTTTTATCTGCATGCTGCAGAGAACTTCCTAAGGCACCCTGGCCACTCACTGGCTCCCAGATGTCTTTTGGCACACAACGGTCCCTTAAAGTTTAGAGCTTGAGGAGTCCTCAATTTCAAATTGGTTTTTTAAAAGCCCTCCATCTCAAACAGACCCTAGATTCTTGCAGCATTTCTAGGTTTTTGGTTTGGTAGAAGCTAGTTGCTATTTCTGTGATACAGAACAGAAGTATCCAGAGTCCAGGCATGAGTCAAATTGGACTCAGCCTCTTAGAATTTCACTTGTATATTACTTTTATGGTCTTCTCTCTCAGTCTTTCCAATAACATAACCTGCATATGTTAATTGAAAATGAGAACTTAAACCAATTAAAAAATTTTTTTTCTTTTTTTATCCTCACCCGAGGACCTTTTTCCATTTTTTTGTTCAGATAGAGTGGGGAGGGAGGGGGAGAGAGAGAGAGGGACATCGACGTGAAAGGGACACATCGAGTGGTTGCCACCTGTACAACCCAACCAGAGCTGGAAACAAACTGTAACCGAGGTACGTTCCTTTAGCGGGAACCGAACCTGGGTCTCTCTGGACTGCAGGCCAACGCTCTACCGCTGAGCAAAACCGGCCAGGGCCCAATTTAAAAATTTTTTTCAGAATTATCCTATTGCCATACTTTTACATTAAAAAAATGTAATAAGTCAAATGATTAGCATTTATTTTGATTCTTTTGCTGGCGTAATACACATGTAGATTTACTTGGCTTTTTTATCCTATCTACATGTTATAGCCTTTTGGAGAGTTATGGTATGGTTCAATTCTGAAGCTTTTGATTTTTATCACAGATTTGGGGTTTGAAGGTGTGTGATGGAAGTTAATGAAACATGATGCCTAGAGATAGGGCTTTAATGCTCATTCAACTAATCAGCACAGCATAAGCATCTTGGTTCTTTTCTTTTAGTGTGGGAAGTTCACTTTCACCCATCCAACCCAGATCATCTATTTACCTGTTCCGAAGATGGATCCCTGTGGCATTGGGATGCCTCCACAGATGTGTCTGAAAAATCATCACTCTTTCACCAGGGTAAAAAGTTTCAATGAAGATTCTCGTGTGTAATTTTATTATACTTTTAAATACCAGATTAGAAATTCTCCGATTTTTCACATTAAATGTTGCCATTCTCCTGCCACAGGATAAATTCTAGTATTTTAGAGGTTGAACTCTGCCAGCTACTTACTGCTATATTGCTGTTGACTGGAGATGCTATAAGCTGGTTGACTTTGGATAACTGGGGATTTTGTTTGTGAGTTCATTGTCCTGAGCCCTCATGTCATAGGATAGGCATTAACAACTCTTATATATTATATTACCATGGGTGTGTGGCAAGGCAAAAGTTGATCTTTTATGTATTATGGTACTGATTTCTCAGGCTAAAAGGCCTTGTTTCCTGATTAAAGACAGAGGTAAGTAAAGGTCAGCCAAAAACCATACACTTGTAATCAAGGGGTATTTTGTTTTGTTTTTGGCATTTTCTAAGCTTCCTGTTTTTGAGTTTGTCTGTTATTCCAAAATTCATTTATTTGTTCATTCAGCAAATTTTTTTCAAATAGTGCTAGGCATTATTCTAGGTGTTGGAGCTTACAACAGTGAGTAGAACTAAAATTCTCTGCACACATAAAGCGAATATTTTAGCAAACAGTAAATAAATAGGTAATGTTTCAGTAAAGGTCCTGTCAGAATAACAGAAACTATCCTAGATTTAAAATGGAATTGGTTTCACATGTTAGAAGGGCTTAAAAGAGCCCTGGCCGGTTTGGCTTAGTAGTTAAAGCATCGGCCAGCAGACCAGAGAGTCCTGGGTTCAGTTCCTGCTAAGGGCACGTACCTCGGATGTAGTTTGTCCCTGGCCCCGGTTGGGGTCGTGTGGATGGCATCCAGTCAATGTGTCTCTCGTGTTGATGTTTTTCTCTCTCTTCCTCCCTCTTTCCCTCCCGCTCTATCTGAAGGTAAAGGCAAAAATGTCCTCGGGTGAGGATAAAAAAATAAAATAAAGAAGGGCTTAGAAGAACAAAAGGGAAGCGGAGGGAAGTGGGAAGAGCAAATAGAAAGAAAAAGTAAAGCCTAGAAATAAAAGATTTAATACCTCTGCTGCTGCAGCATTGGAAGTGCTGTCAGAGTTGGTTCTGGATCAGGAGAAAACGTGTCACCTTGGCCAGAGTTGGAATTACTGCCAGTATTGTTGCCAGAAACCGGGAGTTTGTGCCCTTATTCACCTTCCAATCACCCACAGTAGTACCTCCCATTGGCAGGGGCCCCCTGGAAGCAGATGACAAGGGAGCCTGGAAAATGGAGTTTGCCCCTATAATACATGGTAGAGCATGAAAACAGGGAAAGGGGAGTAAGAGCAAAAAGGAAAAAAGCTGGGCCAAACACACTGCTAACTGTGAAGAAGAGTGAAGCAGAGTAGAGGATAAAAAATTAAGGGGGAAGGGATGCTCTACTATAAGGAGCAGAGACCTGACAGAAGTACGAGTCACATGAAAGCATTCCAGGAGAAGGAAACAGTAAATACTAAGGACCCGAGACAGGCAGAAAACAGCAAGAAGGCTAGTATGGCTGCAGTGAGCGGGATGTGGGAGTGGTGGGGGATTAGGAGAGGTAGCTGAGAAAGGACCATGATGAGGACTTCATTTATTTATTTTTCTTTATTGATTTTAGAGAGAGAGGAAGGGAGAGGGAGAGAAAGTTAGAAACATCAATGAAAGAGAACATTGACTAGCCGCCTCCTGCATGCCCCCCACTGGGGATCGGGCCCACAATCTGGGCATGTGCCCTGACCAGGAATCGAACCAGCGACCTCTTGGTGCATGGGTCGAAGTTCAACCACTGAACCACACCGGCTGGGCCATGATAAGGACTTTAGATTTCATTTTAAGGGTGATAGAAAGCCATCTGAAAATTTTGAGTAGGGGAGTGTCATCATCTGACTTATGTTCCCAAAATATCACTGTGACTACTGTATGGAAAATGGACTATGGGGAGAGGGATATAAAAGTGGAAGCAGGGAGACCAGGTAGGAGATTTATCACAGTGGTTCTAATAAAGTTAGTTTCATAGTATGCAAGTGTAATGTAAAATATAGGAGCAGTAAAAGATGAAAAACCAAGGGGGAATCTGAAACGTCTCCAGAAAAAGGTGTGGAGAAGAATGGATTGAATAGAGCATGTAGCATGTTTATGCTAGCTTTATTTATGGAGCAACTAATAACTTCATCCAAGGATTAACTAAGCACTTGGTTTTTACTTCCTCCTCTGCCCCCACTATCTAACATTTGAAATTGTACTGTTTGAAGAACCTTTGTTAGGCTAGAAATAAAACCATTTACTATATTCTATGTCTAGTATTGCAAGGCACTGTGAAAAGGTGAAATTTTTTTCTTTTTTTTTTAATCTTCACCTGAGGATATTTTTCTCTTTATCTTCAGATAGCGTGGGAGAGAGGGAGAGAGAGGAAAAGAGAGAAACACTGACGTGAGAGGGACACATGGACTGGTTGCCTCTCACACGACCTGACCAGGGCAGGGCACAAACCACAACTGAGGTGTGAGCCCTTGGCCGGAATTGAACCTGAGAGTCATTGTCCATGGGCCAGTGCGCTAACCACTGAGCAACCAGCCAGGGCATGTGTAACTTACTAAAAAATAGTTATAGAGAAAAGAGCATGGAAAGTTAAATCATAAGAAATGTATAACTAGTAAAATGAGTAGTACATACAATGCTGAGGGTTCCCAGAAGGGAGAGAGAAGGATGAACTGTTGTCACCTTCAAATGCTTAAAGAAGGAAGTTGAGATGAGCTATCAAGAATTAACAAGATTTGGCCCTGGCCGGTTTGGCTCAGCAGTTGGAGTATCAGCCTGCAGACCAGAGAGTCCTGGGTTCAATTTCCGCTGGGCCCTAGCGGCTAGGGCCATGTACCAAAAAAAAAGAATTAACAAGATTTAAACCTCACTCTTCATTTAGCTTGAAGACATCAGGCACTTTGCCTTGGATTCCCAGCTCTTAAGCACAGAGCCTGGCACATAGTTACTCAGCCATATATATATATTTTTTCTTTATAAATTTTTAGAGAGAGGGGGAGGGAGAGTGTGAGAGAGAGAAACATCGATGAAACAACATCAATTGGCCATCTCCTGCATGCCCCCCACAGGGAATCGGGCCCACATCCTGGGCGTGTGCCCTGACCGGGAAATGAACTGGCGACCTCTTGGTGCATGGGTCAACGCTCAACCACTGAGCTACACTGGTTTGGCTCAGCCATTTTTTAAAATAAATTAAATCTGTCTTTATTGATCCGGCAGAAAGTTGAGGTGGAAAGAATACTTCAAATAATGGCTTAAACTGAAATATACTGCTTCTGTCTCATTTCTATATTAAATACAAAGTACTGTTAGAGATAAAGGTTTATAATCTGGTAGTCTAAAATTCTACTTATAAGAACAATTACCTAAAATAAAGGGTAAAAATAGATTTAAAGCGCCCTGGCCAGTTTGGCTCAGCGGTTAGAGCGTCGGCCTGCGGTCCGGAGAGACCCGGGTTCGGTTTCCGCTAAGGGCACGTACTTCGGTTGCAGTTTGTCCCCGGCCCTGGTTGGTCGTGCGGGTGGCAGCCACTCGATGTGTCCCTTCACGTCGATGTTTCTCTCTCTCTCTCTCCCTTCCTCTCTCTCCCTCCCACTCTATCTGTACAAAAAATGGAAAAATATCCTCCGGTGAGGATAAAAAAAAAAAAAAAGATTTAAAGCAAGTTGACTATATTTTATTTTTTCCTTATTTATTCTACTTTTCTTCTGACCATTTGGCTGTGTGTCTGACACTTTCCATTAAAGAATGAACAGAAAGACAGGGTCAATGTAAATCTGCTTTGCCTGAATATCAAGTTTGACATCCATATTATTCCCTGGAAATCTGAGTATTTAGTGTCACCGAGTAAGCCTTTGGTCAGAAATGGTGATATGTGGTACTGGAGCAATCAGCCTAGTATTCTGAGAATTAAGCAAGTTTAAGTCATTGCCTTTTAAAAATATCAATAGAGCCTAGCTGGCGTAGCTCAGTGGATTGAGCATTGACCCATGGACTGAGAGATCCCAGCTGATTCCCTGTCAGGGCACATTCCTGGGCTCGATCCCCAGTAGGGGGCCCATCGATGTTTCTCTCTCACATCATTGTTTCTCTCTCCCTTCCTTTCTCTAAAAAAATCAATAAAAACTTATTAAGATATATATGTATCAGTAGGCTTTTGGATGTTCACTAATATAAAATTAGTCTTGAATGTTTCTTTCCCCTCCCCCCTTTTTTTCTCTCAGGAGGAAGAAATAGTACTATTTTGTCTCATAGCATTAGTAACCAGGCTAATGTTCACCAGTCTCTTATAAGCTCCTGGCTCAGCACTGATCCTGCAAAAGACCGCATTGAGATCACAAGCTTGCTTCCCAACAGGACTTTGTCTGTGAACAGTTTGGATGTTTTAGGTCCTTGTCTTGTTTGTGGAACCGATGCAGAAGCAATTTATGTTACTAGACAACTTTTTTCATGAAAATACTATAATTATAAGATTTCAGATAAAAACATACAGTTAGCCTTTCAAATTCCAACTTCTGTGCAAATTTTTATTATTGCAAAATGTGAAATTTGCAGGGGTAGCATCAGTAAACTATTGTTAATGGCAGTTCCCAGTTTTGGATTTTGTTAGTTGGATATTCCCCTAACAGTTGCAAAATCTGATAGGTGACTGATGGCAAAAGAGTGTGGACTTGTGGAAGAACATCAGAGGGATCCTTGTGTTGATGAATGCACTGCCTTCAAACAGACTCTCCTGGAGAGCACATGGAAGCTGCTCTTTATTTTTGATATTGTGAGGCTCATATCACCAATGTGTTCCTATGCTTTTTATCAACAGTATGTGGCAGTGTTAATGTTTTATTCTTTTTATTATAAATATTTTCTTCGATCCTTTTACATTTTATTTCTTTAATAATTTTTTTTCCGCCCTGGCTGGTTTGGCTCAGCGGTTAGAGCGTCCGCCTGCGGTCCGGAGAGACCCGGGTTCGGTTCCCGCTAAGGGCATGTACCTCAGTTGCAGTTTGTCCCCGGCCCTGGTTGGTCGTGCGGGTGGCAGCCACTCGATGTGTCCCTTTCACGTCGATGTTTCCCTCTCTCTCTCTTCCTCTCTCTCCCTCCCACTCTGTCTGTACAAAAAAATGGAAAAATGTCCTCGGATGAGGATTTAAAAAATAATAATAATAATAATAATTTTTTTTCCGTTATTGACTTTTAGAGAGAGAGGAAGGGAGAGGGAGAGAGAAACATCAATGAGAGAGAACATTGATTGGCCACCTCCTGCATGCCTCCCATTGGGGATTGGGCCCTCCATCTGGGCATGTGCCCTGACCGGGAATCGAGCCAGTGACCACTTAGTGCATGGGTTGACGCTCAACCACTGAGCCACACCGGCCGGGCATACTTCTTATAAACTTTTCCAGAAAGAATTGAGTAGAACAGAAAACTAGCTAATTTTTTTTTTAAGGTGAAAATGTTTTAACAGGTTCCTTTATTAGAGTATGTTGAACAGAACTATCAAACTGCTTATATCCAACTTTATTTTTCTTGAAAAGAAAAATACATTTTTCCTAAGGATTTTGCTTTTGTTTAGTTTTATAGTGTAGTCCAAAATTGCTAAACTGGACTTTGTGCAGTAAAATAGAATTCAACATTGATAAGTGAGCCAACTTCCAAACTAAAATTTGATAGGTAACATGTATGAGACTAGTGTCACGGTGAGGTAAGAGTAAAGAATTTTGCCATCTTTTGCCTTATTCAGAATGTTAATTATGACCTACCACAGTGTTTTAAGATATTAGTAAGACATTGTCTTTCCATAGTTTGTTAGATTAAATGCATTATTGAAGTGTGTTTTCTTGACTTTGTAATTCCAATAATAGTAATTATGTTCAAGTTTTACTTTTCTCTCCTAATAATTTTCAGTTTTTTTCATGCTACCTTATCTCAGGGGTTTTTGTTTTTGTCAGCATTTACAAATGAAGTAAGTACATATATGCATAGTTGGCTTTAAAATGTTTCATGAAAGATAATTAGTAATTTTGAATTCCAAAGAATCAGAAGGAAAGAAAATGTTGCTGATAGAAAATTTTAATGTTTATGATTTTATTGCTGTGTCCAATTTTTAAGATTTTCTGTTATTAAAAAGCTAATTCATTACAGAAAATATTAGTAAAAAATGTTAAGTATTTATAATCTCAGACAATAGTCTTTCATATCATTTTTATCTATCAATGTGTAGAATTTACTTTGTGAAAATGAACTATACATATTTGTAGATACACATTCCCTATAAGTAAACACATGGGTTCTATCGTATAAACATAGCTATGAATATTCCTTTGATTTTATATTTCCATTTATATGAATGTCTTGCTACAGCCTAAGCTACAGTGTCCCTCTTCACTGAGTACAAGCACCCATTATAATTAGCAAGCTAACATCCTTGCTGAGTCGAATATCCTAGATCCCTGGTGGCACATTTTCCATGTACAGTGAATCGCAAGCTTGTGCCTCCGCTTTCATCTTCATTATCTGCTGCTGAAACGTTCGAAGGTTTCATACATGTTAGCACCGTACTCAGTTTCCAGCAGCAATGCATACAAATTCCCTTGGTCGTTATAGTGAATAATAGTAGAAGGAAGGAGCCAGACATCTAGGCGTAGAGTATTAGCTTGGACTGGAAACATTTCTAAGTTTGAAACTTCGCTTTGATATAAGGGTATTTATAACCATATGTAAAAGAAAGTACATTTGAACAGTGTTACATTCAATATATTTAATAAGAAACATAAGCTCTATGTAGTATAAATAAAGCCCTAATATATGAGTTTGCTCATTGTCACTTACTGCCTTTATTCATTAAACTATCAAACAGCTTTTTTTGAGGACTGCAGGATCTCAGGGGTGGAAGGCACTTTGGAAGGCATCTCCAACCTAAATCTAATCATCCTTTCCACAGCATTCCTAACAAATTCTTATCTGTATATGAAAATAGCCTATGCAGCCTCTCCTCATTTGGACGGCTCTAGTTGATCCAACCATGATGGCAGTGTTTTAATGTGTGAGTGGGACTGAAAACGATACTGTAAAAAAAAGCTAGAATAGTGTTATTGTGGGTTAATAAAATGATCCTGTGAAAGCCCATCCATTTATTGAATTTGCATTATGTTGGGGGACTTTACCATAAAGTTTCACTAAATAAATGAGTTTTTGTATAGTAAATTAAAATAGGTTTCCATTTGTCTTCTTTCTTCAGGAGCCACAAAAAAATTTAATTCCCCTCATATTCAGAACCACATATTACAGCTACTTTGGGGTAAAACTTCTTAATCTATGTCTTCAGTGGTTTCTTGTGGGCAAGGTTCCCTTCCTAGCCTTTCTTGCCCTACTTGGCAAGATCCTGCTTACCCTTCTGGAGTCCTTTTAGTTGTCTTTTTCTCAAGAAAGCCTTTGCTGGCCTCTGACAATCTGGGCTAAATTGTACTGTTTCTAAAGCCCATTGTGCAGAGTTTATATTGGGCTTAGAGCAGTGTGTTAAGCAGCCCGTCTCCCGCTACTGGACCACAAGCTTAAGAGCAGAGCCCATGTCTTAGTGTTGTATTGACAGTATTCAATACAATATCTGGTGCACAGTTAAGCACTGATTTGATACAAACTGAACTAAATTCACAATCTTGTATCCCCTGTAAAAAATACTCCCATTTTCGGCATGCTCTCCCTCCTGGGAGCATGCCCACATCTTCTTCCCCCGCAGACATGCGTCTCCTAAACTCTAGGACCCCACAAGACTTGCAACCAGGAGGGCAATAGGCAGTGGCAGCTCATTTCCGGCTAACCCCCTGGACCTGTCTCCAAGGACCCCTTTTCTCTGACTTCTCAGTGAGCCAAAGCAGCTCAGCCTAAGTTTATTTCTTTTCTATAACGTTTCTGGAGAGCCAAATCAGCCCTTTCTAATCTCTCTCCTGTTGCTTCTTCTATCGTAAGCCCTTTCTTGTTTCACTGTTCCCAGCTTTAATAAACATTCTGTAAAAAAAAAAACAAAAAAACAAAACTCTTCAAAGTCCAGCTTTAAAGTGTGACTTTCAAAATGAACACTTTTCTAGGTGGTGTCTGCCTCTCTTGAGAATATGATAGGAATCTTACCCTGATTTTTAATACAATACCCTTTTGTAATGCTGTCTTAGTTCATTTTAATAATTATGACATTTTTTCAATTAGACTGCTGACTGGTTGAATTTAAACCCTTAAGTTTTCATACATGATACTCCTAAGTCATACTTCCCATATTGAGTTAATGCAGATGGGCTTTTTTTTTTTCTTCATTGATTTTTTAGAGAGAGAGGAGGGGAGAGGGAGAGAGAGAAACATCAATGAGAGAAAGAACAGATTGGCTGTCCCCTGCATGTCCCCAACTGGTGATTGGGCCCATAACCTGGGCATGTGCCCTGACCTGAAATCGAACCAGCGACGTCTTGGTGCGTGGGTCGACGCTCAACCACTGAACCACACCAGTTGGGTTGCAGATGGTTTTGATCCTTACTTTATAGTTCCATCCTTCATGTTCTGAGAAAACACATTTTATTTCAGTATAGGAAAGATTCAACAATCCCCTCTGAATCTTTTCTTGAGAAGCAAATTATTTTCAGAATTGCCCAGCATGTTTTCTATACGTACCCCATTGGTTAGGAAATATGTTAAATGGACTGAAGTGCTTAGTCCTACTCCAAGAGTCATCTCAGTTATCAGTGACACATGAATCATTGGTATTTGGCTACGGTCACTGAAATACAGTCTAGGAAGCCTTCCCCCAAGACTGAATTCCTGGGAGGGCTGATGCTGTCAGAACCACAACTGGTCCACAGACTTCTTCCATGTGTGCTGCCCCTGTTCCTACACATTCACCCAAGTATGAAATTTGGGCCCTGTGTATATAAAAAATGAAACCAAAAAGTTACCATTTCCATGAAACATTGAAGAGGGGAGTACACGGGCTGGATCAAGGGTTTTCCATCACAGCAATACAAAGACCTTCAAATGAATGGCAGGTATTGCATTCTCAGATGGCCAGCACGCCTTGTAAGCATTTAGTTGGTCTTTCACCTCCACCTCCACCCCCACCTACAGTCTCAGCCACTTTATTTTTTTAAATCCTCACCTGAGGATATTTTTCTATTTATCTTAAGACAGTACGAGGAAGGGAGAGAGAAACATTGACGTGACGGACACCTGGACTGCTTGCCTCCTGCACAACTTCGACCAGGACAGGGACAAACCGCAACCGAGGTATGTGCCCTTGGCTGAAATCGAACCCGCGACTCATTGGTCCACAGGCTGACACTAACCGCTGAGCCAAACCGGCCAGGGCCACAGCCACTTTTATTTTTTATTTTTTTTAATCCTCACTTGAGGATATTTTTCCATTTTTTGTACAGATAGAGTGGGAGGGAGAGAGAGGAAGGGAGAGAGAGAGAGAGAAACATCGACGTGAAGGGACACATCGAGTGGCTGCCACCCGCACGACCAACTAGGGCCGGGGACAAACTGCAACCGAAGTACGTGCCCTTAGCGGGAACCAAACTCGGGTCTCTACGGACCGCAGGCCGACGCTCTAACCACTGAGCCAAACCGGCCAGGGCCCACAGCCACTTTTAATCTTGCATGTTCTCTCCAGATCACTCCTCT